GGAAGTGACTGTATAATAATACAAATAAATGTATCAAATTATAACTGTAGTGTAATATGACTGATATACCAATGATATATAGTTCAGCTATTCACATGAATCCCTTTTTTTTTATTACATTTATAATAAAGTTTCGCGTTATCTAAATTCATATTCAGACAATGAATAGTGCCAGTACATCTAGTAACAAAACACTTGTGTCTTCTTTATTGAAAGGTTAAGAATGGGTGATACAATTATTATTGCTTGCAGAATGTTCGATGGGAACTTCCAAAAATTGTGAAATCAAAATTTAAAAAAGCTAGAACTAATCATTTTCATTATATATTCACAGATTATTAGATATTGAAGTTTTTTTATTCGATCTGAATGTCTATCAATTAATTATGTTGCTTTTGTTTTTTACCTCACTAATAGGGTGGCCATCGACAATACTCTAGAAAAATGTCTTATATCAAATATTGGCCTGAATTATTAGAATTTCGTTCTTTTTGAAGTTTATTTTGCTGTATTTCTCTCTCTCTTTGTTATACTATTTTCTGATGTTTCACTTCTGGTTTTGATATCATAACTTGATTGATTGTGTCAATAGCTAAAAAAGTTTTCGTTTTGTCTAGTTCTAATTTTCCTAATGAGCAACGAAATTTACAAAAACAATCTGCTTATAATGGTAACCCCGTACAATAACTTTTTTTTCTCCTCAAGAAATATATGTGATCCAATCGATTTAAGTAGAACCATCTCAAACCATTGCCACTTATATAAAAGAGTGATTAAAATTAGTTGAAATCATTCGTTAGAGAAGGTTTAACTTTCACCACCTTGGAACATTTTTCTTAATAAAAAAATTAGATGAGAAACTATTTTTTTTATTTTGTCAATTTTTCCTCAACTATAATAAAATTGGAATCAGACTTTATTCATCTATCTATACAGTTTCGTCTTAATTACAAATTAATATAATAAAGATATAATAAACTCAACATCAAACTTTGAAAACAGTTTTAGATTGATTGAAGAAGACCTTATAACGAAAGAGTGAAATGTCAACTGAAGTTGTTTTTCAACTCAATCCTAATATGCTCAAAAAACATAGAACTACCCTGATATTCAGGCTCTAGTAGCAGTGCACACACTCTCTGCCTTCCCCTCTATGGACCAGATCAGGTTTTAAGCGTTTAGCAGAATCTCACACTTACCATATGACCTGAAAGATCACTTTTCAAATGAGTAATCGAAGATTTGATGGAGTTTGAATAAGTATGAGTCGAATAGACTCGCACACTTTGGATCTTCCTACCCTAATATTTTTGAAAATACAGGAAGTATATGTATGGATGTTACTTACTGTTCATAAAAACGACATTAATATAATATAATTGAATGTATTTAAAACACTCTCCACACAACTAGGAAACTTTCTCTCGACACACGTTTCGCTAACCTATTGAGTATCATCAGGAGATAATTAAAATTTCTGGTAATTTGGAAAGCCAGTTGAATCTGGAGAAAGTTGCCCATTTTAGAGGTCATTCAAAAAACGTTTCAAAATTTAGTAAATTTTGATTGGTTCCGAAAATATTTAAAAAAAACTTCCTCGTTGCCACTTTTAACCTAGTTTAATTTTATATATGGACTGGAATAAAGAATCTCCCAATATAAGTCAGACTTTTTGACGACAACTTCACTGATGTTTCACCATAATCGTTCAATTAGTAAATTATTCAAATAGGATATAAAATAATATCTCTTACTGTTTCTGATTTTCCCATAATGGCCCTTCTTATCTTGGACACATATCAATGTCATTAATTCATCATTAGACCATAAGAATAACTGATAGGTCTTTCAATTCTAATTTATGTTGGCTACTGAATGGGCAGAAACGTAATTTTGTGAAGAATCGTTAAATATTGACATTTTTATAGAAATCCCGACCTTTTCTCTAGCCTATTGTCCAGATAAAAAATGGAGGATCGATTTGTAGAATTCAGTTACGACATGGTTTTCTTGTAAATTAAATAATTGTTATATTCAATGTCTAAACAAAATAATATTCATTTCTTGATATATTGTACTCCAATACAAAAGGTATACGGTTTAAAATATAACCAAACTGAATACCTATATAAAAGTAAGGCCATGCAAAATCAGGAAATCACAGAAAATGAAATTTCAGTTCAAAAAACCATTTCAAATAAACTTCCATTGACTCTTCGATAAAGGTGTTTTCATTTTTGTTTCTCCCTCTATATGGTGTGAAATGTAAATGTTACAAAATGAAATGGGAAAAGATAAACAAAGGTTTTTTTTATATAAAAATATTCACACCATTGGTGGAATGAATTCCCAAAATGGTAGGAATTTTCTGTAAAATTATATTTTGTGTATATCCATCATTAATCGATTTTTCTCATTTACAAAAGTATTATGAGTAGAAAACAAATTTTTCTCACAAAGAAAGATAGTAATTGCAAAACTTACAGGAACCGCATTTTAAAGCTATACATTATCTAAGGCAAATAAGCATTTATCACTCATATTTTTCACATTTATATGGTAGGCATATATCCCACCATATTTAAAGTCTAATTAATGAAAGTCATTGGCAATACTTTCCAAAATAATGGACAATCTATACCTGCTATCTAACCAGAATATTAATGTCCCCATCCTTTGGTCAATCTCTTCCACAAACTAGGCTTGTCAATATTTGCAGGAGGCGGCTGATCATTTTTGATTTGATCTAAAAATCCAGCGTTCTGATTTTGGGCATTTTCTTCGGATTGCGCGTCACCAATTTCACGTAGATCTCTCATCATTTTCCTCCTTATAGTCTTTTTCATACTCAAGTGCCTCTCCAAAGTTTTATACTTATTTTTGGTTTTGTTATCGACATTGCTATCAATAGGAACTTTTGGATTTTCCTTATCAGATTCTCCATTACAACTCCAAATGTCTCGAACGTCGTTTATTTTTCTCTCGTTCAGTGAAGACATTTTTCATTATACCATCTGAAAAAAAACACCCAATATTTTTAGTAAAACTTCTATAAGTACTTTTTCAGATATTACACAACTTGAAATCAATGAATACAAATGAATAGTGTTCTTTTGTTCATTCCTATCTAAAGGAAATTACCAAATGCAGTCTACATCCTTTTCACTAAATTATTCACGATTTAGAAAGCTAAAGTCCGTTCTAATATATATTTATATGGATCCTGTTTTGTTATGGAATATGATCATGTGACATTTTTTGACAATATCACACAACTATGTCTCATGCTCTCTTCAACATAATGAAAAATACCAAGACCAACTATTCTTCATTAATATCTTGACTTAATATATTTTATATGATATGATTTGCATCAGATGCACACTATGCACTTACATTTTTATTTAATATTTGCACTGTTTAGTTACCTCATCTTCAATGTATATGTATATAGTGTTATTTCTATAATAACCAGTTCTGAATAACACATCAAGACCTTTATAACAGTATAAGTCATCCTGTGATGTCTTTGCCAACTCAAGGTAAACTACTTCTTCGTGCCTGGGTAGGCACTTATAGTTTTTACCGCAATAACTAATTTGATCAAAACAAACAAATACATAATTAATGCGTGAAAATTACTAACTTACCCTTTTCACTTAGTAATAAAACGTTACATCAAAACGGAGCTAAATTATTTTAGAAGTTAATGCTGTTCTGAACAAATTACTTTTACTTTCAAATCACAAAGGTAGGCGAGCTGGTTCTTTGTATCTGTGTGTTGAACTTTTGATACTTTCTTCGAATCAAGAAGCGGTCCTTTTGAATTTGAATATTTTAAGATCTACGAAGTTTCTACGTGTAATTTTTGTTATCAACAAGAAAAGGCTTTGAATTACAGATATATTTATCTTTCATTTTATTTTATTGAACATGTCAAGATTATAGAGAATCATAAATTTTAGCCCCGTTCAATATTTTATTGTTGTTGTACCTATTCGCCTGTCGCTATTAATAATTTTTTAACATTATCTACAATGTGAATTAAACAATGCAGTACCACGCTCCTGTACTTTCTTTATCTGAAATTATCAAATTTGAATATGCATCGGTTGCCGCCAACTTTAATTCCCACTTCAGCCAACCAATCTCTCCTCTCCAGCTGTACACCATATCGCGTAGAAAATTCTTCACGTCAGGCAAGAAATCGAGTAAACGTATTCCACATAAAAAGGAGATAACATGGGCCACGTTTTGTAATTCTCCGGGTTTCTAGCCAATCACAAGCTTCCATCTGTCGAGTCAATAACAGTTCAACGACTGACGGCCACTTCACTAACATTGATCTACCTATGTGTAAAAAAGACCGACTGCGGCAAGTTTGTCCGAGATAGTAGCGTTGAGTTTTAGAATTATATACACCTCTCATTGTTGGTTTTTGGCATTCATTACGAGACGTTTTGGTAGGTTGACGTGTCGGAGGTCGGAGTGATTCTTTAAACCCAAAATGAAGTATTTCGGGGTTTTTGTTATTTTTGCGTATTTGTATGCAGCTCAAGCCAGTGTTTATCTAGAGGAAAAATTCAGTGACGGTAAGTTTCATCCAATTTGATGTTATTATCAACCCATTACATTTACCAGTTTCAAATGTTCTAGAAAGGTGTTGCCTGCGAAATTAAAAAGAGTTTCTGTTTTAGATACATGGGAACAGAACTGGATTTACAGCAAACATCCCGGAAAAGAATTTGGCAAGTTCGTGAGGACCGCTGGTAAATTTTTCAATGATGAAAAGGAAGATGCCGGTAAGTTAAATATTGATCAAGTTTGATTTGATCATTTTATGATTGTCAAGAGTGTATTCTGTTTTCCATCAAAATAATTTCCTAATTCCAAAATGAATCTACCAATTGCCTTGTCGTCATTTTCCCCGTAATTATTGTTCTTAAAGATAATCGAGCTTTTCACACACCTTCACCCTTTGGTCAGTAGCACATATACTGTTGAAAACTTTCTACACTGATAGGTACTCATGTGCTAGTTATGTTTTATGCCGAATATTTGTTTTAACAATTTAGTGGAAGAAAAACTGGAATCTCACAAAAGCAAGAAAAACTGTCTAAACTCCATGTTTTTGCACAAATTCCTGAAGGTGATAAGACATTCAATTTTCAGGGCCAATTTAGAAATTCTAGTCCCTGTCTTAAGGATTTTTAAAACTGGTCAATTTATGCAGCATTATATCAATTCTGAGAATTAATACTAGTGACTAACAAGTTTTTCTGTCAGAACACAATTGAATGATTTTCGTACAATTTCATCAGATGTGGCTTCCTGCAGATTCATTTTGTGAATTCTGTTATCATAGATATTCTCGATTGGCAGCAATTGATATATAACCGAGCAATCCGTAAAGTGGTTGAGCTTCTGTTGGTTCAATAATAAATATTAAAATAATCTGTTGGACATCTATAATTGTACCAGAAACACAATCGGTTCGCTAATTGCTTTCAGCTTCACATCAGCTGCTTATATCAAATTATAGTATCCAACTCTACAAGGTGAACTCTATATTAATCATTCACTTTTCTATAAATAAAAATTTTAGGAGTTATCATTTATATTGATGATACTACTGGTATTTTAGTATACTATATATTACATACTACTAGTATACTAGCCTAAAGTAAGTTTGAACACCAAACATTGATAATGGAATTGAAACAATGTTTACATTGATATAAAATTCCACTTACAAGTAAAAACTGTCAATTTCAAAGTAATCTTAAAGAAGTTTCTTGTAAGTCTTTAAGGCCTAATTCAATTGAATATTACTGGAGTTTTTTCCCAACACCAAACCGTTATTTTAACACCTCGACACGTGTTTCGATCACCAAGTGATCAATTTCAAGAGGAAGATCAAACTAAATATACTTATAATGTTATCCTCATTTATACCATAGATACCTGTTCAAGGTACCTGTGTCTTAAGGGTCTTGAATTAATTTCACAATAATGTTTAGTTATTTCTACATTCTCATAGGCATTCTCGTGCCTGTTGTTGTTAACTTGTCTAACTAATCTTAATGAAGTAAGTATATGGAATGGTTCATTAAGATTAGTTGGACAAGTTAACAACAACTAGATGCCTATGAGAGTGTAAAAATAAATAAACATATTAATATTATGAATAACGATGGTGGACCAATACCTAATGGTATAAGTCCACCAGATACCAGAGAGAAGGTGCAGGTACCTAGAAGAGGTATCTATGGTACAAATAAGAATAACATTGTGAATATATTAATTTTAATCTTCCTCTTGAAGATGGTCACTTGGTGATCGAAATACGTATCGAGGTGTTAAAATAACGATTTGGTGTTGGGAAAAAACTCCAGTAATATCTATTACTACACCAAAGGTTCCAAACAGTGCTACACAAGTACCTAATTCAGTTTCTCATCAGCATCTTTTTCAGTGAATGTTTTTCATGCAAGTCTTGCCAAAACTCTACCACTTTATGTAGAAGTAGCATGCCAAACAGGCTTTCTCTAAAAAAAGTAACTACCCTAAAAATATTTCATTTCCAATAAATGAAATTGCTTTGTCTGGGGTTGAAATATCTAGTTATTTGAATGATTTTTACTAATTCTTGTGATGGAACAGTGTTGTCTTTTTTAAACGTATAGTCTTGATGTATTTGGAAAAATCAAGTGTTTCTATAGTCTTTCAAAGATATTTCAAAGGTGTTAATGAGGATTTTTAGACTCCTAGAAGTCCACCTGAAAGTCAAGTTTTATATCATTACTTGTGCATACCCATATATTAGGTTGTATGACGTTCATGTTTATGATATCTGTTTCAATTCCGATATGAATTTATGGTGGGCAAACTGGATAAGGAAAAGACGATTTTTGTGCATGTTCATAACCCAAAGAAGTTGTTTCAGATGGATTTTTATTAGTTTGTAGGTAAAAACTTCCGAGCATGATTCACACATAAAAAGTGATTGTTGATATATGTAAAAAAAAATCTTCTTCATTCCTTCAAAAGTTTCCCACTCTTCATATATTGATGGAGAAGTAAAAATCATTTTTTTCATAAAAGAATTATTTCTGCTAAAAATATTTCCTTTTCAATAAAATCAGACTATATAACTTGTAATCTTATTATCTATTACATATATGTTTGAATCTCTATCTAATAGAATCTCAATCTTATGTCAGGTATCCAAACATCAGAAGATGCCAGGTTTTATGCCCTTAGCAGGAAATTCACTCCCTTCTCCACAGAGGGTAAGGACCTTGTGATCCAGTTCACCGTCAAACATGAACAGAATATTGATTGTGGTGGTGGATACGTAAAAGTTTTTGACTGCTCTCTCACTCCCGAGGAGATGCATGGCGATTCTCCTTACAGGCTCATGTTTGGCCCTGACATCTGTGGACCTGGAACCAAGAAAGTGCACGTTATCATCAACCATAACGACAAGAATGTTTTAATTAACAAAGATATCAGATGCAAGGTAAGAAATATTAAAAAATTGTGTTTTACAAATATTGTTTAAACATATATCGACAAGTATTAGAAGTGTATCTGTAGATAAAATACAATATTCAGATTCCTACGTTTTTTGAACAATGAATATACAACTTATGAAGTCAGGGAGAGCTGCAAAATACTTCTTTGTGTTCTCAATTGAACAATTATACACATAACTGGTCAAAACACTCAAAATCAATTTTGTGTCCATTCTGTTTTTAATTATAGCCCAATATTGCCAGTGCTTAGTCCTGGAGTGCTCATTGGTCTTGTAAGGCCTACATTTCATTGGTCTTTGGAAGTTCCATAGATAGACTCTGACGATTGGAATCTCTACTCATTATTAAGAATCTGAATATGCCTTTTTATATTTGTTGGCCAAATTAAATCAATGCAATGCTGCGTAGTAAATTTTAAAAATTTTCAAAATTACGAATCTCTTAAATATCAGAGGCTCTAAAAACTCAATTCCCAAATGGGTGTATATCCTTAATTATTTCCAGATTGAGTGAACATCATGTTATGTTGTAGTTTGTATTTTGATAAGAGGAGGCTGTTTAAATTACATAGACCAACAAAAAATATTAAAATTTTTCCAAGCAATACGTCTAATGAACTGAAATTGTTATAGTAACTGTTGATTTTTTTTTGTATCACGTTGGTATAAACTAGCGAAAAATTGATACCCGACTTGATACATAAAACAACTCAAACTTTAATTTCATCAGGCTACAATTCTTCCTTACTTCTAGGCATATACTTCAGATACTTGTATAGCCTTTTCTTTAATGATATTTTGTATTTTGTTGTTTACCAATAGTAATTAGCAATCATGTTGTGATACAGCTCTTCACTGTTTTGGATAAAAAGTCTGGATGGTTGTATAAGATGAGAAGATCAGAAAACCCATATTTTCGAATTATTTATAATTGACCCCAATGGAATGGAAAACCCCAATTGAACAATGAGAAATAAAACTTTATTTTTTTTGGTACTTTTATTTGTAACTAATTTTACTGCAGTTTCATCCTATAAGAACATTTTCGAACAATTACAATTGTAATTGTTAGTTACAAATAAAAAAACTAGAAGGCTTTATTTTTCATGATGATCTCCTACCATATAGTAACGGCTACGTCCATCAATTTATTGAAACCCCAATTGTTCACAGTGTTGAAGTCCATACCTCCTTTTCTTTTATAGTCAATCATTATACAAATATCAGATCTAAGGTGAACCCTTTCTTTCAGTTTCATGGTGTTATGTTATACACACATATTTGAAACATTCACCATCTTAAAGCAAGACTTGAATTACCTAGGATGAATTAATTAGGGTTTTCCACGTTGCCCAAAAACACAGTCAGGGCTTCCCTAAATGAAATAAAAGTCATTTTCTTTGATAGCCATCCTTGCTCGAATAATTATGTGAATATCGAAGCCAATGTAAACCCTGTGTTAGGCTTAAGATAAATAGAGAAATGTTTTACACAAATATTCAAAACATTCACCATGTGTTTAATTGAGCCAAATATTTCATTGAATCTTTCAATTCTGCAAAAAATATTTTTTGAGATCCCACAATTGAGTTTACTTTACAATCAATGGCCAACATTTCAGAAAAAGTAGTTTCTTTCCTCTCTCAAAATCCAACAGGCTGAGGTAATTCAGTGACAAGAGATACCAGTCCATCCTACCATCCTTGATTGTATTTAGAAACATATTCATTTTAATGATTTTTTAGATCTCCATACCATAAGTATGACAATTCTAAAAGTTTTCATTTTTTACCATTCTCTATTAATATCCTTGATAAACATAATTTACTTTGTGGTGAGCCCAGTATGAAATCACATATATTTCAAATTAAAAACTTTCAAAGATTACTAAGCCAAAGTTGTTTAACAATTGTCCACTGTTATCTGAAAGTATGAACGAATATTAAAACTAAAAGATGAATAAATCACTTGATTAGTAAAACAGGTGAAGTGACTGTATGTTTTAACTATTTGAAATAAGCTCTATAGAAAATCACTTGAATTTTATATTTTACCAGATTATTACTGTCTGTATTATCATGTAATGTGCTATGAACTATGTCAATTTTATTTTCTAGGACGATGTTTACACCCATGCATACACCCTCATTATCAAACCAGACAACACATACGAAGTTCAAATCGACGGTGAAAAAGTAGAAAGCGGAGAGCTGGAAGCTGATTGGGATCTTCTTCCCCCCAAGAAAATCAAAGATCCAGAGGCGAAGAAACCTGAAGATTGGGATGATCGTGCCACCATTCCAGACCCTGACGATTCTAAACCCGAAGATTGGGACAAGCCCGAACACATCCCTGATCCCGATGCAACTAAACCAGATGATTGGGATGATGAAATGGATGGAGAATGGGAACCACCAATGATCGATAATCCAGAGTACAAAGGGGAATGGAAACCAAAGCAGATTGATAACCCAGCTTACAAAGGTAGATGTCTTTATAGGAAGCATCATAATCAATTAATTGTGTCCAAAATGTAGATTCAGATAGAAAAAAGTTAATTCCTCATAGTTCATATTCTGATGTTTTTTTTATGTAGGTGCTTGGGTCCACCCAGAAATTGACAACCCAGAATACACGCCAGTACCTGATTTGTACAAACAGAAAGAAATCTGTGGACTTGGTTTCGATTTGTGGCAGGTGAAATCGGGCACCATCTTCGACAACGTGTTGATCACAGACGATGTTGAATATGCCCAAAAAGCATTATCAGGATTGAAAGATAAGCAAGAAGGTGAAAAGAAAGCCAAAGAAGCTTTGGATAAAGCAGAAAGTGATGCTGCTAGTGAAAATGATAAGAAAGACGAAGGTGGAGATGAAGATGATGAAGATGAGGATGATGATGCGAATGAAGAAGAGCATGTACCACAGGTTGAGGTGAGTCTACTTTAATTTTTTTTCTTTGTGTCATTCCATCTCTATATAAAAAACAGAACATATCAATTTAGTATCACATAGTACAAATTTTATTACACAACTGTTTCACATGTATATTTCTTTATTGTTAATTGATGTTTTTGGTTTCAGGAAACTGATCATGATGAGTTATAAAAAGTGAAGCGAAGAGACAATTTTTATATATTACAGTGTGCAGTGTTTTGTTCGATAGTGTGTACTGTTCCTTTGACTGATTTTTGTTAATATTGAGCATAATACTTCTAATAAAACACAAAATCCGAAATATTGTTTTTGAATTACACATTTTATTTGTATAAAATTCAATAAATTATTGTTTTGTATGAAGAGTTTTCTATTTCAATCTTTGTGCTGTTCATTGATATACTCGAACAATATTTTGGTACTACTTTTCCTAATGAGAGATTTAAGGGGAAAAAACAAAAGCCTTGGTAAAGACAGACCCAAGTAGCGAGCACATGTGTAAAATATATTCATTGTTCATTGAAAGAAAATATTTTGAATATTCATCTATTTCTATCATATTTATATTTTTCAAAAGTATTTGTGATTGGGATCCAGTACTTCTTCCTATGAGTGTCTAATCCGAAAAATAATTAGCTAATTTTCAATATAATACTCTCAAAACTGGTAATAAGTCAGATAACTTACCCCTATTCATCCTACTGAGGTGTGTTGGGTCATGAAAATCTGTAGCCGAGCGAGCAGATGCAGATTTGATAACATGTGATCAGAGTCGAGGGAGTGAAATATATTTAATGAACGCTAGATTCTATCTGAATGACGAGTCAACATTTGTGGTATCATTTCTTATCAAAAAACGTCGGGTATATGATCGATGAATTTTCTTTTCTAGGACGTCACTAGGTAATTTATAACTTTTTTTTCAAATGCAAACATTTTTTGCGACTAAGAATGACTAGTGTTAAAAGAAGGCATCATTATGTTGGCAAGAATGTGACGTGAATTATTTTCTGAATATGTGCCGACCAGTCAAATATTTCACCAAAAGTTAATTTTACAAAAAAATGNTTTATCTTGTGACTTCTAACAACTCATTATCTCATTACTGGCTGGCTGTCTTAGCACTCAACCATTTATAAGAAGAACAATAATAACCTCATATTTTGCCGTTTAAAATGTTTGCTTTTTATAATTATCCCCTATTTAAGAAGTCATTTAATGATAGATATCTTCAAATATAAACGTTTTAACAAAAAAGTGGTTGGAGTAAAACTTGAAGATGGCAACATTTTATGAGGGAAAAACAACGATTTTTAGCAAACAAATCGTTTTCTTTTTTTCACGGGTTAACATTATCTAATTGAGCTAGAACTTTCCAAATCATATTTTCTAGACAAATAGCAAATATAAGGGGAGTCCCGCCGGCATAACGACGAAAATATTTTTCCACCTTATACCTTGTGACCACCCTAATATACACTTTATTGTTGATGGTTGTTCCCCTTGATAAATTTCTACAGTAAAATGTGCGTATTTGTCAATAATAATTTTTCAATGATTTGGTTCCTGAAATATCGGATTCAAAATTTGAAATGATTATTCTTTAAAATAAAATTGAAATTCAAACATAATGATATAATTGATTGGTATAGATATTTGGTAGTTGAGTATATAATTTAGGTCAGTCTGAGTTGTAGATCAAAACAAAATATGTAGTAGGTAGGTTTGTACCTAACTTGTCAATTTTCAATTAAGTAGAGAGATTTGGTGTTGGGAAAAAACTCCAGTAATATCTATTTTGAATAGGTAGTTCCATTTTGCGAAATGATCCTGTTGTATTATTCCATCAAANAAAAATGTGGGACGTAGACAACCGTATTGAACACAATATTGAACCAATCATAATTCACTTTGATGATAGCGGTAGCAACAGTGACGAATCTGAGGTTGAAGATTAGACGAAAATTTGTACATTTACATTTATATTATATTCTATTATCAAAAATGTGTAATTTGTATTTTCTAGTACCCCTGACGATGAGTTTAAGTTACTCGAAAGCTTGAGAATAGTTATATATATAGGAATATATATATATTGTGTTTTTTATTAATATTGTTAATTTATTTGGTACCTACTATAATTACCACGATTATTACTCCGTTTTCATAAGGCCCACCTAATGACTACAACGATTAGGTAAATTACGATATAGCAAAGTTTTAATGAAATAAATAAAAAATGTGTATGAATATTTTAACTAATTGTACTAAGAATTTTTCTTTCATTCTTAATCCTCTAAAAAATTAATAAGCACGCCCCCGATTTGCTGTCAACTGGGCTTACTTTTACTCTCAATCATTATTGGTTTTAGTATAAATGGAAAAAATTCTACAGTCATAAAAAGTGTTTATGAAAACAAATCATCAATAAAAACTGTATCTCGACCTAATATGGCCAGTATTTCAATGAGCCCTTAAATTTTCAAAATAGTTTGTATTACTTGTGCACGAGACCATGAAACTCCAGTCATATTGCGAACGCCAGTCATATTGCTTCTCCGAAACAAAATCTGGATATTGACCTAGCAGTCAAACCCATTTGCTCCGGAAAAAAAATAAGAAGAAGACACGTGTACAATTTTAGGTGTAAAGGTTAAGGTAAGATATGAAAATTAATTTCTGAGAAAGTGCTATTGAAACTAATATATAAGTTGAATCAAACTACATTCTCAATTCCTCTTCAGATGGCTCCAAGGTACGAGATAGCTGTAGGACTTCAAAGGGGACACAAAACCACCAAACTTGATAAGTCAAAGATTAACAAAGTTCGGCCTGCGAGGTTGAAGGGGATCCAAACTAAGCATACGAAATTTGTTCGAGACATTATCCGAGAAGTTGTGGGACATGCCCCATATGAGAAGAGGGCCATGGAGTTGTTAAAAGTTTCCAAAGATAAACGAGCACTCAAATTCCTGAAGAGACGTCTTGGAACACACATCCGAGCCAAGAGAAAGCGTGAAGAACTGTCCAACATCCTCACACAAATGCGTAAACAGGCTACCCATAAATAGTTGTAATATTTTTTTAAGAATAAAAGTTGGGTAGTCGAAAAAATTGTATCACTATTCTATTTTTTTGGACAATATACTGAAATGAAAATTCAATCAAATTAATGAAATCCTGGACAAAATAAAGCAACGAGATCTTTCACATTGACAGCTTCGTTCTCAGATATAAGTTCAATTCTATTTCCAAGTGGATCAAGCTATCAAAATACTGATAATGTTCCTAGATACATTTTCTTCCAAAATCATAGTCATTTTTATGAAGTTTAAAATGTTTTTCCTTTAAGTAGTTGTACCTCTTATGAACTACAACCCTAAGAAGTCGAAACTTGTGCGAGCTACGGATTCAAAGTCTTTTCTTTCAACATGGGATTTCCAGCACTCATCAGTATAGATGTATCTCTCTCTCTCTCTATGTTTTTGGCTTTTGCTTCCATTCGGGCGCATTAAGCCCTTGATAAATCCTTAGACAATGCCATAGATATAGATGTGATGAACATGTTGTGAACTGTGAAACTGTAAACATGTTGATAGATGGAGAGAGAATCATTTCCAAATGTAATGATTGTTGTGCTTAGCGCCTTAGTAAGTTGGAAGTATGAAGAATCATGAGTGCCGTAGGCCGTATATCGGTTGTTTTAGGGGGGGGAGTTCAAGTGATTACGTCATATGATATTGCTATTCATCTTGGAAAAAATCAAAGACTTATGTAAAAAAAGACAAGAACCGCGATCTCTTACTTGGATAAATATGAAACTAGACCAACGCTTTAACCTTTATGGAATATCGTATATTTTTAATTATCAACGATTGTAATCAATGGTTATTGGATGTATTTAATTATTCGGATGCGATTTGGTACCGGAGGATTTTTAATTCTACATAAAATATCAAAACTCATTACAGTTGAAAAGTTATCAAGTCATTGCAAAATATTTCAGGTCATATGGAATTCAAAATTAGATGCCAGCTCCATGGTAGCTAATGTGCAAAACACAGATGTTTACAATACTTTGATGGATGTAGCCATTACTATGTGGTAGGAGATCATGATGAAAATAGAAATGAAAATTTCTATGTTTTTTACCACTTTTATTTGTAACTAACGTTACTGCAGTTTCGTTGCGCATTAAGCCCTTGATAAATCCTTAGACAATGCCATAGATATTGTAACCAAAATCACTTGTTTCATTGATAATTCATTGATTGAGTTTTAGGTGAGAAAGGTTAGAGTATTGCAAATTTGAGGGAAGAGGAACATGCTTGTTGATGAACTTTCGTCCATCTACATACTCTTTCAATCCTTAACTAATTTCCACTACAATTCAAAGCCAAATTTTTCGCGGAAAATAATCAAAATTGATGTTACGACATCGAGATTCTGATAGATTCTATATAGTATTGATGGTTTCTACTTGACTCTGAATCGCTCATATTCAAACCGAAAAAAGTGATGATCGAAAAAATCTTCACCAATTCACTGAAATAATTGATTTAACAGCGACAAAAATTAACACTCATTGATGACAACTAAGCTATAAACTCTCATTGATGACAACTAAGCTATAAGAAACAGTGTATCTATCTCTATTTCACGAAACCGAGACCAGGGGATATATCGCTTATTTTAATTCCATATTGTTCCTTGAGTTCTGGGAATTACACATCTTTTGCTGTTTTTCCTAAATTTCATTCATTTGAAGGATTGTAGTATAGATGACTCAGAAAGAGTAAATTTCTGAAAAAGTACTATTTTTCTATTTAAAAGTTCTGAATCCGCGGAAAGTACTGTCTTTAGAACTAAATCACTGAAAATCTTAACATTTAATTCATCCCATTTTTGGTAATAAAGACAGCCCATGTGAAGCCGAAACAAATAAATAACGTAGATCTGAAAAAATGTATTTGCATGAGATAGAAAAAAAATGACCAATTTGTTCAGTTATTTAACAGTACCAATTTTGCATGAAACAAGAGAATTATTTTGTAATTTATTTTATCTTGTGACTTCTAACAACTCATTATCTCATTACTGGCTGGCTGTCTTAGCACTCAACCATTTATAAGAAGAACAATAATAACCTCATATTTTGCCGTTTAAAATGTTTGCTTTTTATAATTATCCCCTATTTAAGAAGTCATTTAATGAGTATATTCATATTTATTTTTGCGGAACTATATATGTTGTAATACTGTCTTCAGCACAGTAAAGTGCTGAGCCACAACTATACTTAGAAGATAATTTTGATATACGGATAAAGGAAACAATCTCACGCTCACATACTTAAACATTCTAAACTTAAACTACTCAATCTCAATACTCCATAAATTTTCTCAACCAGGGCTCTTATGAAGGGTGGTTACGAAATGTCAAACATTTTGTTCGCCACGTTTGTGATGTCATTGGCGGTGAAAAGCGCTAAATTTGAACTGATTAGATATGAATATTATGGATATAGCCGTGGTAGATCATCAATAAAAATGAGAAATAAAACTTTCTGTTTTTCACCATTTTTATTCCTAACTAAATTGTACATAAATTATATGACATACAAATTATCAGACCTTCTTTGGAATATTTTCACATGTATGGAGTTCCGCCCCTCAGCATACCCCTAAGCTGCTGGATTCCATCCAGAAAAGAGCCATTCGCTTGAATGGAGACTCGAACATCACCTGCGACCTTAATATTCTGAAACATCGAAGAAAGTTTGGAGATTTGACCCTCTTTTATAGATACTTTCACGGGGGGTGTTCAAGTGACTTGGCACATTTAATTCCACCAGGCGACGGACTGTGGCTGCTCATCGTTTTGAGGTTCAACTCGGTACACCTCGAACTTCACTGTTTGAGAATTATTCAATTTGGAGGACTGCGTTTATGTGGAATAAACTTTATGGGAATGTTTTTCCAAATGAATTTAATCTCCAGCGATTCAAATCCAATGTGAATCGCTAATCTGGGTCTTGTCAAAGGTTATGGGTAGATGGTTCTAGCTTTAACGAATCCTTCAAAATTATAAGATCGGTATATTATAATGAAAGAGGCCCAGTACTTGGAATATCAAAGCCGGAGAAAAGTTTATCACCTTCAAGCCTTCAAGGTCGAAACATAAACGTCGAAATGATTAGTTGTTGGCCTCTTCAAGTCGTGTATCGACTTGGAGAAGGGTCGACTTTCAAGGTTATAGACGGAGAGTCGAAAGGAGCCTGAGAGAGTGACCACAATACTCTCGAAGTAGACGAAACGAACGCTGTTGTTAGGGTCGACAAGGACAAACATGTTTTCATTTGGAATATGTTCAATGCTGGCGTCATACGTTATAGATACTAACTTTCGGTCGTGTCGGGTCTTGGTGTGAAGATTAGTGTGAGATTATATATTTTATGTAACTCTTTCACAAGTTGCAATTTTTTTTTTAAAGGCATGATTGAACTGAATATCGTCAGCATTGAATTTCTAATCGCAATAAACTGTTCGTTACTTTCTCGTTTTGACTGAACGCTTCACGACAAACGTCTGCTCACTACACTTCTTATAAAACACACTCCGTATTCCCACACCTACGTCAAGGACAGAATATCAAAGTCAAACTCCATGTTCGGGGTTATTGACTCAAGGTCGTGTGACATCATTCAAAGAAAGGTTGCATCATACCACACGAAGTCGAAATCTTGGAAGTCATATTCCATGTTCAAGGTCATTTATCGTTCTCCTTCATATGCGGAAAATAAAACTGTTGTAAATAAAAATTGCAAAAAACAGTCTGCTTTTACTTTACTTTACAGGTAATCAAACAAGTTGCCATTCACTAAAGAACAACCATTTTATAAATATTCAATAACAATGCTCACTAAGCTGCAAGTCGCGAGATCTGATATGTTGAAAGTTCGAATAACAGCGAATATTATCACTACAAAATTCGACTTCAATTAATATACCGTTCGGCACGCTGATTGGCAGAGACGGTAAAAGTGGGCGGATCCCTCATTTTCACCGTTTTAATAACATTGGTGGAAACATTATTTTTATGACTATTATAACGAATTTTTCATTTATTTTCAAATTGGCATTTCATTACAAAACAACTTTATCCTTTTTCTCACTGCTTTTGATAATATATACCACAGATGTAGGCGAAAGATCGAGCATAAGAATTTGCAGACCAAAGCAAACAAACCCAGAAAATATATTTGACATAATTATCTTAAAAGTTCACACTTTTTGATTTTGATATTATCGCCATCAATAGTTCAAATTACTGAAAACATCTCGACAAATGTAGGGAAAAGTTCACAATTTTTTTCTGTTAATCATTATCGTAATCATTACTGCTCTCTAAAAATTTTACTGCTAATCACTATCTCAAACCTAAACATAGAAATAAAGAAGTTTGTACATAAGGTGTATTTTATAGTAAGCAGTCCATATCAAGATTTATAAAGTTTCACGAATTGTTTATTGCACATGTGTAAAATATATTGAATAAAGTTGGATAAAATGTCCATATCCCCATACAAATAGTTTTTGATTTCCAAATATATTATTATTTTACTACACTATAACTTTCAGTGAAATGTGAAAACCGCTGTATGAATAAAATTTCTGAATCAGAAACTATTCCTTTCATGTCACTTGTTTTCCGCATTTTAAAGCTCATTGGTTGGTTCCTCAAGGTACTTCTCAAAAAGCCTTAAGCTTAGCTAGTATCCATAAGTGGTGACGTCATGATTTACTCAGTTATATAGTGGCAAAATAGCAAAGGAACTTTACTTATCCTTTTAACGTGTCTAATAAAATTGACACCTTTGCAGGATATTCAGTATATCAAATAATCAAACAAGCAAAAAATAAAATTGGTTTTACCTAATGAAAACTCTTTTCCCATACCAGAACTAGAATACTTTCTCTCGACGCACGTTTCGCATAATCTCCTGAAGAAATAAGTAAATGAAACTATTTCGATAAAGAACTTCATATAATTATATACATATATATATAACAAAAATAATGCAAATAAAGTAACAAATTAATGGTGCCGGTATATAACAATAAATAACCTTGCAAATTAATAATAAAAATTCTTAGAGCCAATATAATCTAGGATCATCTCTACGTACTTGTAGTTTAACAACATGCTTGTAGATTTTCAGTGCTGGACCTAACTTCAAATTCAAGTTTGTCAAAACGTCTATCCTCTTCAAAAGAAGCAAAGAACGTCCGTCTATTTCCTGTAAATAATGAAATTATTTGTAATTTAAGTTTTATCAACGAATTTTAAAGAGATTATCAAACATTACATTATTTAATCAGGGTGTTTCAAACTTAAAAAGTTTATAATGTAATAAATCCATAATTGTTTTTAGAGTTGAAAAAAACGTCAATCAGATAATCAGCCAGTGACCTACAAGCACCCGAGTCTTCTAAGGGCTTGTACGAGAAATAAACAGACCTGGGCCTCAAATTTAAAAGTGTGATCCCAAATTCAGGGCAGTGTACTATTAGTTGCACACAAGAGTCTAAAAAATTTTGAATTCGAATTTGACTCAAACTCGTTCGCAGTAACCACAAACTTTCTGAGCAAGTTTTATCACAATATGAACTGGAAGAACGTGAGTTCTCTTAAATAGATTGTATTAAAATCACTACCTGAAAAAAGTAATGAAACACTTCACAACAGTAGGAGATAAATTTGTAACTCTACTCTGTTGGATACTGATAGAGTAAAGAATATTACTGGAGTTTTTTTCACAACACTAAATCGTTATTTTTAACACCTCGACACGTGTTTCGATCACCAAATGATCATCTTCAAAGAGGAAGATTGAGAGTTTTAATCTGGTGGTGTTGGGAAAAAAAACTCCAGTAATATTCATTACTACACCAAAGGTTCCAAACAGCGCATCATAACTGATAGAGTAATTAATATAAGCAAAACTTTTCAATGGGTAAAAAGCTTTTTGGCTTTCTACTTCTAAATCTCCATACAAAAAATGTGAGAAACTTTCGAAGAAAGGAAAAAAGCAATTAAGTTATATACTTTATCACTCTCTATCAATACTGGAAAGACTTTAGAACTTCAATTTCTGGCAATGAATTGTCTTGAGATAAATCAGTAAAAAATCTGTCTTATCATTCTGAGCAACATGTCAAAATGCTCTGAACTCTTCAACCATGTTAGAAATAACACATTAAAAGTAAGACAATGTTAATCCCTAGTTCACACAAATATCGACTTGTGAAGCTTGTCGTTCTTGTGAGAATTTACCAATAAAATCAATTTACAGCTACCGGACTGAGTCATGACCGGTGGGAGAAATCCTATATGTGTAAAGTTGGGGTTGTAAAATTGCATATGTCTATGCAATTTACTTTTAAACTGCATCACTAACTGAATACGGTCCTGAATTTGGATGTTTACGGTTCGAATAATTTAAAATATTAATAACAGATTTTTACACATCTACTGCACATCTTGAGGGAGAGGCTTCTCACCGGCCATGACTCAGTCCAGCAGTTGAGCTAAACATATCATTTTCGCTGCATTTTGTAATACTATATATACTGTAGCAAAACTTTGTACCAGAATAAAATTATGGCTAAGCAATGGTTTTGGAAAAAATTCCAAAAATTCACAACACATATTTCTTCTAATTCACCCTAAATAATGTAGAATAAATTCTCCAAGAAAAATGTTTTTCAATTGATTCAACCACCCTAATTTTGTGTCATACAAATATTTGAATTGGATATTGTAGTTGACGTTTTGATTCTTTTATTCATTATTTAAACTATGATGTTGTCATCCCAACTTTGGCTTACACACATACATACAAAAAAATAAAAACATCTCTACAGAAAAATCCTTAAGGCACTCTCAGAGCGGTGCCTGTGCGAAAGTAGTGATTCACATTGGATTTGAATCACTGGAGATTAAATCCATTTGGAAAAACGTTCTCAGGAAGTTGATTCCACATAAACGCAGTTTTCCAAATGAAAGAGTTCTTTAATAGTTTGAGGTGTACTGGGTTGAACCTCAAAAAACCGTCGCATATTTCTGATATGTACCGCTCTCGATGGAATCGAGGAATCTTTGACGTTCCAGACTATCAAGGTTGCAAGTGACGTTCGCGTCTCCAATCAGGCGGATGACTCTTTTCTGGAAGGAATCCAGCAGCTTAAGGGTACGCTTAGGGGCGGAGCTCCATACATGAGAACAATACTTCAAAGAAGGTCTGATCTGAGCTTTATAAAGCATCAAAAGTTGCTGAGGTGTGTACAGTTTTCTGTTTTGGAACAGTGTTCCAAGTTTTTGAAAAGCACCCTTTGCAATTCCAGCGACATGATTGTGCTAAGATATATTGGCGTCCATTTTAACCCCCAACAAACTTATCGAAGTGGAATTGTCAGACCTGACATTATTATATCCGATTTGGAGACAGTGCAAGGTATTGGCCATCATCAACATATAGTCGACAATATTCCATTCTTAAAAATCGAATTCCTTTCAGAGTATCATTCCTTGAACCAGGCTTAAGCTAACAGTGAAAGACAAACAATATATTGTCATCGCCCCATCTGGTAAACGAAGTACTAACCAACAGCATATCCGAATTTGCCCAATTCGTCGTATGAGGAAAGAAAACTTTTCACATATAGTTACTGGGTATACTTGAAGACTGGCTGTAAATCCAAGAAGCTATTAACTAGTGAAGGTTATTATAGCGTAGAAGAATTTTTAGAAAGGGATATCAGATGATTATTGCTTTCACTGTATTTCTTTCTACCTTAGTTAAATAATATAAATAGGTGTATATGTATGTGTTTTTTTTTCTATATATAGTTATGTACCTGTCTTGAGTGTCCGACCTATGTTTATTCTGTGGACCATTATTATTGTTTATATATTTTTTATTAATGACATGTCTGATATCATGTAAGTGATTGAAAAGACGAATGAAGTTATTATTATTACAAGAAATGAATTTCGATTTTTAATTATGGAGAATCATCGACTATGTTGATGACGGCCACTACGTTGCACTGATGAAAGGCCAAATAACCCGAAACCGGTCTGCAAGTGTGTCTGTTTAAAATCTGTTTTTCCGTTAATCAGCTGTCCTTTCCAGTAATTGAAAATCAATTCCGGCAGTTGTATTGACAACAGCATATGTAGGAAATACTTTTGTGAAGATTCCTGCACCGACACCTGTCGGATATAATTAAATGCCCTTCGTAGTATTAGCCAGGGAATTAGTTGTTTTCTGATAGGTGTCAGTCCATTAACCCACAGTGTACGTGAGTAGAGACTGGCCTGAACGAATTGTTCTTGTAGATAGTTAAAAATGTATATAATACAAAATTTTTACTTGAAGTTCAACACATTTTACGTAACACTAAAACGCTTTCTCAAAGGTTACGGACATTACAAGTTAACTGAGTCGTTATACGCCATAATTAGTACTCAGATTTCATATAATCCACGTCAAATCTGATACCTCTACTATGGGGACAATGTTCTGATTTATTTTACAAATCTGACTATATATCGTGGAGTGAATACTACAACTAGATAACTACAAATCAGCTGTTTTGGGGAAAACTCAAAATAATGTTTTTGTTTACGATTTTGGTAGAATATGAAGGCTTGATTAAATGTCATTTCACTACCATATCTTGCTTTTTATTTAGCACTAAAAATATTTTTGACGTTGATTTAGATGAAATACAATATTTTATAAATGAATTATGTTTTTGTTTTATATTCAATCAGGCTTGTAAATAAATTGTTTATTTGCGATGTATTATTGTACTGACAATAATGCACTGCAGAAATTGTTTCATTTTACAAAAAAATAACAAATTTGATAAAAACAAACAAATCAATTTGTTGAACAACTAAATATGTGAACCTGCCTAGTTATAAAATGGATCTAGTTATGAAAATTCTAAATAGCACATATAAACTGTCTGCATCAGTTCCCTAGTTGTAGTATGTTGTGCACCTAACCCAATGGAATTTTTCTTTGCAGTTATTCATATTTTGCCACCCTGTGCGGTCGGTGTTGTGTATCAGTTTTGTGTTGTGTATCATTAAAGACACGCCTGAAGAAGGCATTGTATGGCGAAATACGTGTTGCATTTTTTGTAAAACTGTTTAGTGAAAATCTCACAAAGAAGTGGTTTTTGAATACGTTATGGATTTTCATCAAGTATCGGTCGTCTCCATCAAATATTTCATTAATTGAATAATGAAGGGCGTTTTTTGTTATAATATTAGTTGAAAAAAGTAGAAAACCGATAATTCAGTTTTGCTATATTTCTTGCAAGTGCTTGGAAATGATTTGTTTTCATTTGTAATAAAATTATCGATAACTTTTTGGTATCAATATAGTTTTACTTCGAACCAAAGCTTTCATTTATTATACTCAAGTGGCACTCTTGCAATAGGGCATCATATAAAATGTATCTTCACAGAAACATAAAAATACACAATTTGAATTTTGTAAAACTAAAGTGAATGACAGAATCTGAAATTTGATCCAGTGTTAATTAGCTGATACAGATTACCACCCTCAGAAATGTCCATGCCATGCCACCCCTTCAAGTTTAAATGTATTCGAAAGTGGACACAATTTTGAATTTCCATCGTTAAGATCACTTTTTGAAATCAATGTATCAGAAGTTTGAATATTTATTTTTGCAAAAAGTACAAGTGGAAGATGTTTGCTTTATCTCAATACTAAAAATTGTCAATCTACATCTACTGAAGATATTGGACACAGATACTGGAAGGCATATTTGTACAGATGAAGTATTTTGANTGACATTAACTCGTAAGTGAATTTTCAGCAAAAGCATTACCACGTAACTACCCTCATTTATCTAAAAGTCAAAACTACTATGAAAATTAATTGCTCATTCCGTTTTTCCAACAAAAAGTAATCCTAATTCACGAGATAATTAATACAACACGTCTTGAATGTGAAGCTGTACGGTTTTTTGGCTCTCCTTTAAAATCATCACATTGTCACTTACGAGTTCCTGCGTTTCCGACGTCGATATGTGTATTGACAGAAAAATAAGTTGGACCACTTGAAAAGAGGTGATTAGGAAGTGTTTTGAATGACCCTTTCAAAGAGGTATCAATTCATACCATTTCATGATAAAAAATGAGTGGTGGTTCTAGAGTTAAAAGAAATTTGGACATATAATCATCCCTTGTAGTATATCATTTTAAAGCACGTAACTGAAAAATTTCATTACTGAATGGAGACTACTCTCTATTTTTTAAAAGAATATCTGCTTCCAACCGAACTGACAAATAAGAAGTGGAATAAAAATAAAGCAAGTATGAATAAAACAGTGATATTGAAATATATTACACCCTGTATGTCTTGCGTTGTCCTTTTGAAACTAAAATCAACAAGTAAAGACAATATAGCAAGTCTCCTGACTGAAATATTTGGCGTTTTTACATAAACACACATAACTTATTGATATAAAGTGACATCCATTTTGTGGGACATAGTGTATATGTTGAATACTATTGAGAAAGAAAGTTTTTTCCCCAAAAATTAATCACTCCTAAAAATATAACCTTTCCAATTTGAATACTATTATTTTATAAATTGAAAGGGGTATATTTTTAGGAGACTCATCTTTGGGGAAGGTTTTGGCTACTACTTCTCCATCTTTATACAAAAAAATGTAGAAAACTTTCAAAGAAAGGAAGAAAGCAATCAATTTAAAAAATAATTATGGTCCTCACATAAGTTTCCACTTTTTTTGTATAAAGATGGAGTAGTAGAAAGCCAAAACTTTTCTTTCCCAAATATTATTTTATATTATGTTCTCCCAAGTTATTCTTGGGAGAACTTATGAATGTTGAAATTTTGTGTTTAGGTAAAAGCAGTTCATACGGCTATGTGAAACAAAGCAAAAATATATCATAATAACCTGTTCTTTGAAAATTTTAGCTTCTTCTTCAGGAAAGTATTGGGCAAAATATTGATAGACTTCATCAGCAGTCCAATGGGTGGCATCAGGTATCGAAGGATCAATGTTGTCATCAACTTCTTCTTCATCTTTAACGCTTTGAGAATCTGATTGTTCTTCTTGATCAGAATTTTCTGGCCTTGTACCCGTTTGAGGACTCAAATGAGGAGGTGTTGGTGATAAAGGAGGCGAATTATAATTGTATGGAGAAGAATCTTCAGAGTTTGAAGACGTGGCGTCATTAGTATCTGAAAAATGTATCATTAATCATTTTGGATAGATTATTGATGAAAATGCATAATGAAATTGTAAATATAACTTACACAAAACCAGTTCGTCAAAACAGGTTTCTCATACAAAACTACAGCAGTATTTAGCAGTACAACCTTACTGAACAGTGAAAACACCTGAAGAAGTGGTTTTGTGTAAGTTTCAACTATATACTATTATTCTCATACTACTATGACTATGAGTATAATAATAATAGCAGGCGGTATACAATACTTGTTTTTCACCAAATCTAAAGTGGTTCAATTTCAAATATCCCCCATTTCCTCAATAAATCAAAGGTACTGTCGACGAATCTATTACATTCTGGGGTTTGAGCCTACAATGATAATAAATAATGTCAATGGAATTTGAGACTTCCGCCATTGCATGATTCGTTAAAAAATATATTTGTCTCTGCAGGTTTGGTTTGTTCATTTGTCAGTTACTTTCATTATTTTATCTTTCAGATTACGATCGCCGTGAATAAAAACGAATTTACAACACACACTTGCTTTAAGCAATAATAACATTGATAAGTCCCCAGAAACATATATGTTCATAGGGCAAAGATAGATAGATAGATTTATTTGGTCACATTATGTAAATTATATATATGACTTGTCAAAATAGTAACAGAGTACTATTGGCTATTCTTCTGAGACAATTTAAAAGATTAAAATATTATTTTTATATCAAATACCCAACTACTTGCATGTACATATAAATACACATGAGTTACACATCAAATCTGCAGATGGAGAAATGAAATTTACAGTTTATGGCAATAAGAGTTGAATCAATGATCAATGGGGTGCATATTCATGGCCATAGAACCACCCAACTTTCTAGTATAGTGTTATGATTCATGGGAAATAAATTATTATTATTATCGAGATATAGAGGTAATCAACAGTAATACAACAAAGCATGCACGTAAAATATGACAACTTTGAATGTATGTGGTCCAATTAATCCAGTGAGTTTAGTCATGACATATTGTATAAATCAATCAAAGAGCTTTCCGAAGGTCCGCCGAAAAAATAAAAATTTACTGGCAAGAGTTCTGAAACAAATACAAAAATCAAAATCGAAAATTTCAGTGTAACCAGATATTTTAAGTAACATCAACAGTATCAAAACTCCCAACAACATAAACAACACACAGTGCCACAGAATGTTTCTTTTTAAATGTCGCATGAGCATGTCCTTTTTTAACCTGCTTTTGTTTTATAATTTACAGTTTGCTTGATACTAGTAGGAATTACGAATTTATTAAATTAAAAATTATGTTATTATCACATTACTTCTACATTCTTCATCACAAGAAAAAGGACAATGTATGTTTCGAAAAGAAGTTTCCATTTTTTCAGTTAATGAACGTTCAAGAAATGTTCAAAAACATCTCGAAACCTATTTTATTTGAGTAATGAAACAAAAATGCGATAAGCTTGTGGTGTAGATTTATTTAAAAAAATCAAGATGAAAATACAATCAATCCCAACTCGTACTTATTAGTGATTACTGAATGAAGCAGATTCGTGGTAAATGTCTTAATACTTAACACGCCTGAAGAATTTAGTCAAACACATTTGCGGTTTTGTGAAAATCCCTCAATAAAGTATTACTTAACCAAGTTACTACTGTACCGTAATTCATAGTTTTGAGCTGTTTTTAGAAGATTCCTTTGATAGGTATTATGATTCAGACAATAAACTGATTCGGACTTTCAACAAATGAAATTCGATTTCAATTAGCATTGCGTTTCTTTTTGAAGTTGAGATTATATTGAAGTGAATTGATGTTAAAAATATCGTGGTGATTTTGCGAAGCTGAATACAATCAGATTGCCTGGTTTTAGGTAAATTTCACTGTGGCAAAAATAAGATTAGATTAATTTGTTGAAATTGGTTTTAGATTCATTTAACTCAATAAATTGTACTTTTAGTTTCATTGATATTGCTTGCCTTAACCCACATTGTTGCAGTATTCAAAATCTTTCCTGTCAACATACTTATCGGGATTGTAGCCATTAAACTAATAACACATCTACTAAACATAGATATGTAATATAAACTATTCATCACTTTTACTTTCAACGAAAGACAGCAAACACTTTGTATATTTTTTATTACAAGAAATAAATTCCAAGTACTGAATTGTGAACAAGCAAGTAAAATAATTCTTGATAAAAATCGTGCTATCTACATGATGAGAAATTAGTCTCAAAAGTAAAAAAGCGTGAAGTTTGTTTTTTGTCTGATTTTCTTTAAACCGTTTTTTCCTGATATACGTGGACTGTTCAAAAAATAAGGTGAATGTTCAAATTTCACGAACTAGGTACATTCAATTAACATTTTTTTAATTTTTTTTAAGTTGGTACACTCGTCGTCTCGAACATACAGTGCATTTCTTTAATGCCCCCTCTTTATTTTTTGAACAGGTCAACTCAAAAAATTGAAATTTGGGATAATGAAATTACTGCCTGAATACTTTATTTTGAAGTGAAATTGACAGATGAAACTTTCAAGATGGCGACTGGGCGCCATCTGAGAAAAACATTTAAATGAAAGGGGGGTCTTGTGACACATCATTTTGAAGCTCCTGACGAATACTTCACAGCCCTAGAATATGAAGTAAATATCTTCACCTACTACAAAATGTCGGAATATTTAATAATTTCTTGAAGACAAACACATTAATATCGATACTCGTATTTCTAGAAATATTCCTTTTTATCTGCCATATGGCAATGCCAACAACCCAATAAGGTTTGTTAAGTTATTTTTTGTTTATAAAATCGACAAAAAACACAGTACGACAATGAACATCATTGTTCAGTTAGAATACTCTCATTTAGTTTTCGGTTTTACTAGCAGAAAGGTACGTCAAAAATCTCTAAAATGGTCAATTTTCGTCCATTGGAAGAAAAAAATTGAAGCGATTTTTATTTACGGTGCGACGCGTAACTTTCACGAGACCGAACGGATTTTCAATGAACGTTTTCCGAATCGTGCTATCTGTAGAAAATATTTGAGGGAACTTGTATCAAAATTCACAACTACCGGTAGTGTTCATAACAAAAAGCCCCCAGGTCACCCGTCCATTCCGGAAGATCAGCAAGTGCAAATAATTGGTGAGATGGTAGTAAATCCTGAACAGTCTACTTATTCCGTCGCGAATGTTTGTAAGGCGTCTCCTTCTACTGTGGTGACTTTTGAAGAGGAATAGGTATCATTCATACAAAATTAAAATGGTACACCAATTAACTGAAGATGACGCTGATCGAAGAACAGTATTTTGCGAAATTATAACGAAAACCATTGCAAGGCATCCTACCTATCTCCACAATATTTGTTTTAGTGACGAATGTACATTTTTCTTTAAACGGCAAAGTTCACAGACAAAATTGCCGTTATTGGAGTAACACTTCACGTTTTCCGGTAAACACATATCCAATATCCAGAAAAAATTAACGTTTGGGCAGGAATATTGGGAAACCATATTGTAGGACCCCTATTTATTGATCAAAATTCAACAGGGGAACTGTATTTGAATATGCTGGAAACTACTGTCGACCCTCTCATCACTGAAATCGTCGAAGCGAATCCTAATGAATTCATTGTGGATATTGTATTCCAACAAGATGGAACAGCACCACATTACTCCAGACAAGTAAGAAACTATTTGGATACTATTTTTCCCGGTCGTTGGTTTGGCTGTCGAGGTCCTACAGAATGGCCAGCCCGCTCGCCAGATTTGACTTTTTTATGGGGCTATTTGAAGCAAAAGGTGTACGAAACTAAACCTGCTTCAATATTGGGTATACGGCAGGGTATTGGGTATCAACGTTACTGTGTTCGAAAATGTTTCGCGTGAAATATCGGATAGGCTATTCATATGTCAAGAAGTTCAAGGCAACCATTTCGAGCATCTTCTGAACTGACCCCAAACTTATTACCTCATATTATGTAGTTAAATGTCAATGTATTCAAGCAATTATTAAAAGTTCCGCCATTTTGTAGTAGTTGAAGATATTGACATTAATTATATTCTAGGGTTGTGAATCATTTGTTCATTCCAAAAGTTCATTCCAAAATTACTGAATTTTGACAAAAAAAAACGTCGCACGAGCATCGCTCTGGAATTGATGAAGGTTGTCAACGACTATCCAGATTTGCATAAAAGGGTAATAACTGGTGACGAATCATGGAAATATTGTTATGATATCGAAACCAAAGTCCAATCGTCCCAATGGAAGAACCCATGAAAGCCAAGACCAAAAAAAACACGCCAAGTGCGATCAAATGTCAAAACATTGTTTACTGTTTTCTTCAATTACCATGGTGTAGTGCATCACGAGTTCTTGTCACATGGCCAACGGTCAATAAGGAGTATTATCTTGAACTTATGCGCCGCTTGCGAGGAGCAAAAAACAATGCATGGCCTTTGGATCACGATATTGCACCTGCTCACTCGTCATTGCTTGTTCATAATTTTTTTACCAAAAACAATACCATAATCATTCCTCAGCCACCGTATTCACCAGATTTGATCCCCCGCGACTTTTTCCTGTCCCTAAAATTGAAGAGACCCATGACCAAACGGCGTTTTGCGACGATTGAGGAGATAGAAACCGAATCGCTGAGAGAGCTAAGGACATACCAAAAAGTTCATATCGGAAAAACTTAGAGGATCGGAGAAAACGTTGGCACAAGTGTATTATATCTGTGGGGGACTACTTTGAAGGGGACAAAATAGAAATTGATGAATAAATAATAATAAATAAATTCACCTTATTTTTTGAATACAGCGTATACTGTATCAAATTAAAAAAGTAGAAAGCGTTGGAAAGAGAGTCAATGGCATCTTTTCAACCAATAACTGAGAAATCAGTCGGATTTAGTTTTCAGTAGCAAACCCTGTATTTGAAAGATATGTTCAAGTTTTCATGATGAATTTTGGGAATACAAATAAAATAAAAATCAATTATGTATTAAGAGTAATTGTATGTGAATAAGGAATACATCAAGNGGGCCGACGGCGCGTGCCTATAATTAGCGCGTCGAAGGCCGCGCTTCGCCCTATAGCACTTCATGATTAGCAGCCATTGCACGCATTACACCAGTGCGGAGTCGGGGCGGTTCGCTAGTATTATATATCAATGATTAGGCCACTTTGAATATCTTGACTATTTTACCTTTTTTGCAGATTACAGATTATCATGATGATAAAAAAGGGAAAGACTTTCACAAATTTATCCCCAAATATCTTGAGGTGAAATTATCATTTTGGAAAGTACAATTAAACAATTCTGAATTAATTGTATTAAAACGCCCTGTCAGTTATCATTCAAGGAGCTCATCAAGTGAAGATGTCAATCCTAACATTAAGTCATATGAGTGACTAATATCAACAACAAGTTAAAAATGTATGAAAAACTAACTCTAATCACATATCCTAATTCTACCAGTATTAGTAGGTATTCTAATCAGTATTAGAAGCTGAAAAATTATAATTCAAGAAAGATTTGAAGACATGTCTCAAAAAAGTACATACCTGGATTTTTTTTAAATAACTCAAGTTCCTGAAGTATTTTATTGTTTTATTTTTTATGTTTATATTTTTCAAGCATTGTTTATTATTTAAAAAATAACATACCCTGTGTTAGTTCTCCTCCCCATCACTATAAGACAATATTGACCTCCACAATTGCCAAAAACATCACAAAAGCAATGTAATTACCTCCTACCAACAAATAGTAATTCGATATTGTGTTACCTCACATATAAAGAAATCACATTTTTCAAATCAGGGAAACCAACTCAAAAAAATAAGCATTTCATTCAAAGTGTATTGTAAGTATATATGACAAATTTATTATTATTACCGCGATCTAGTAAGGACTTGTGCCAATCAGTCTGTTCGAGAAATGCCCTCCCATGGCTGCAGCGTACTAACTGCACCTAACTGCTAGGAGATGCTCTCCTAATCTTCTTAGACAGCCATATTATTATTACTATTAACGGCAAATTCAGTTGTGCTGAACTCCTACAGAAAATTTATTCATGTTCAAAACCGCTCAACTCGATAGCAACAAACATTTTATGTTTGTTGCAAACATTTTATGTTTGTTGCTATCGAGTTGTTTATCTAGAGGTAATGCAAAATACTATCCTGAAAATCATTTTTAATCGTAAAAAAATATACTCCACTGTAGCACTATACAAAGAATCAGACTTATTTGAGGTGAGAAAATTATACACTATCACTGCATATTATGGATGCATAATAACCCCACCCCCAATATAAATCATAATTATGAAACCCGTTCAAAAAACGAATGTCCCTCGCTGTAGATTAACTTGCATATCATACTCTGGCCCAAAACTAATAAACCTAGTTCCTTCAGACATTAGAGCAATCTCCAATAAATACAAATTCAAGTCAAAACTGAAAGAATATGTGAATCTGAACTATGACATATTGAAATCTGTTTATGAACTGGATTCATAATAGAAGTTCTCTCTAGGCTATGAATATAAACTACATCCTGCTGTAGGTAATATCTTGAATTAGTAGAACAATCCAACGTCACCTTCTCTTCGAATATTACTCTCTCTTTCCACCAGTTTTCCTTTCTTCCAACTATTTGTATCAGTTGTATTTACATTGGCAGTATGAGTGTTTGCTTCATTATGCAACAATACCTCATTTATATGTATGTGTTTATATGTGTGTATGTATGCATATGTATATATGTGTATATGCATGTATATGTGTATATAAATAATCAATGTTCAAGTTGTTTATAGGTTGATACTACAACTCAAGCTCTGCTTAGGTAGATCAGCCTTTAAAATTGTTTATTTTTCATTGATTCTCATACCATTATCAAAATATATAATTCCCTGAATAAATTTATCTTTATCTTTATGTAGCATTTTATCCTTTGATACACATATTCAATAGCTGCATTCCAAGAATCTTACAATTAGCCAATAGTAACGTTAATCTTGACATGTTTAACATCTCCTTAAATTTTTGCTTATTATTTTTTGTCGTTTTATACTCTAAAATCGATCCGTTTTAAACTTTAAATTTACCCCTTTTAAGCCATTCTTAGTTGCAATTTGTGATTCAGTAAATTATCTGATTTTATTTTAATTATAATTTAACATTGTAATGTATACTTTGAATGGGCTTGCCCGTAAATAAAGAAATAATGACATACTGAAAAGATTCAAGTTGATTGATCGATATTGAGCTCTTGCTCTAGATCCAATTTTACAGAGAGAACAGTTGAGGTCATTTAGTAGCCATCCATCTCCTCTGTAGACTCAGGATTAGATTCTTTGATTACTTCATGGTCCATAAAAGGTCCCACGAATATCTAGGGAAAGAAAGTCCATCCTGGCAGATTTCTGCATTACTGTGACAAGGCTTTTTAAAACAAGAAGGCGTCTGGTATCTCGAAAGTTCCATTAGTGACACTCAAAGGGCTCATAGAGTCATACATTTTTGTCATGGATACACATACCTTAGGGTTAGGTGCCACTCAGGAGGATCCTTACCTCCACGGGTGACACCTCATCAGGCAGGGGTATTCTAACGCCCCCCAATGGCGGAATTGAATGAGTAAGATAAAGATCATTCTGCCTCTTAGAAACATGTTGAACGGATTATTCAAACTTTTTACTCACCTACAAGACTCTTCTGGCTAAAAGAATTTCCAATACTAGACTGTATTTGATTTATTTTCAACTCATCGGGCATCTGGCAGTTGATACAAAGCCATTTGTTCCCATTACGATTTTTTTCCGGAATTCGAGGCTGATGGCACCCGACATGGTATCCGTCAGCACAAACTGAACAAACCGTCAAATTTCCCTATAAAAACAAACATTTCAATAAATATATTCACTTTTACTCATGTAGTGAACACAAAAATATTTTAAATTATAAACTTACCGCATCTGACGTTTCATAACAAACTACACAAGTTTTGCAATGCGGACATTGCCAAGTATTGTCTGGGTATAATTTCAACATCATGTCGTCTCCATTCAGGCAGCTGAAATGAGCTGAAAAGAAATGTTGTATTGAGTATTTGAACTTCTTTATCCCTTACTTAGCTGTGTAGAACTCGTTACATTCCTTTTAAGTCAATGTACATAACATTCATTTGAAAAAAATCTGCTCAGGAAGTTTATTCTGCAAGGTTGTTGATGATCCTTACTTGGTTAGCAAAACATGCATTGAGAGACAGCTTTTTTTTTCTTGTGAGCAGAAAGTGCCAGAGGTTCCAAATTGTACTCATCATGAAAATATATACTTATTTTTACATAATTTTACATAAAATATAAAATTTCTCTTGAATTAAGATAATCCTGTATTGCATTTCAATGGATTCTTCCTCTTCCAAAAAGGTGAATCAAAACATTACATAAAAAAATTCAGTAATGAAAAATCGTAAAACGTATATTTGAAAGTTATCAAATATCCACTAGAATAAACAAATCGAAAAGACTAATAATAAGAAGAATTGGCATATCATTAATGAACTTAGTTAATAGAATATGAAAATGTAAGGCAAAACATCGAAATTCGTGTCAACCATTACTTATTAGGTTTGAAATTCAGACAATAGTAGCCCTTATTATATTGAAAACCGCATGCTCGATCAGAAAACACCAACAGATTTGAAGTCATCAAAACAGATTACAGTATTCGTCAAGCTGAAAATATTAGATTTGAAGACTCTCTGACATAAAATAGTTGTAAAATATATAACCATCTACGTATCACTGGTTATAAAAATTCAATAACTCAAAAATATTTCAAAAACCAGTGAAATCTTCACTCAGTGAAAGGCCATATATTGCATTGCTTGATTGTTAGAATGAAACATTTTAAATTTACTTTAATTTTAATAACAAAGTCTTTTATATACATATTGTGTTAGTATAATTACCCTGGTCTAATGTACTGTATTATTTGTTGTATCTTTATTTATTATTTTTTATGACTAATGTAAGAATTGTTATGTCTACTTTTCAAATAATCCAACATAGGATAGGTTTTGTCGATAAGAATTGTTTCTCATCAGACAATAAATAATTTTTCTCTTTCTCTAAGAACTTCTTTGTTTTAAGAAGGAAAATACATATATTGTCATGTTGCAAAGAGACTAACATTGTTCTGTTTGGTTTCTTCAATACGAGTATGTCTTTGGATAATTTACTGAATTTTAAAAATGTGAATTTTTTTTGTTTAACCAAAATAACAGTCTTAAGCAGATCAAAAGGAAATATGGTGACCATTGTGGGTGAGAAGTTCCTTATAATCCTACAAATAAATATTTCAGCGTACCTTTATTACTGCATTCCCTACAAGCCACCATACGATCGTTTGGTCCTCGTTTGTTCTGAACGTGACAGACAGAACATACTCCTCCTTGCTCACGACCATTGCTGGAAGTTCGTGAATCTGGACGACTCTCATCACTAGCTTTAGCCATCTGTTTCTCTATTGTCGATCTATTTAAAGATCCAACTGGTCTGCCTCTCTTTTTTGGAACATTGTTGTCAGAAGGATCAAATACTTTTTTAGCTCTCTGGTTGAGGAAGAGATAAAGTTAAAAAATTTGGACCAATAAATATTTATTTGAATGTGACTGTCAAAGTTTAATGATGAATGTTAAAAGTAGTCTGGACTCCCAATGTCTAAAAGTATCAACAGGTTTGGAACCTGACAGTTTAGAAACTTATTTCATCACTGTATTCTCAGGTTTCACCTGTTGATACTTTTACATAACGGAAGCCTCATCATACAGATTAAGTATTAGAAATAGTTTTTTGATACACACTACTATTTCCACAAAATTTATCTTCAGCTGTTCATGAAGTGTCATACCGTAATTTGTATTCGACAGGATTTTGTATGAGCGAGCAAAATACTATTTTCAACGTAGTGAAATTTGTTATTGGTTTCAGCTGTCTAAGTAAAAATAAGGCACTCGATAGTTTACTTTTCAAACTTGAAATGTGGCTTGACCAATTTAGCCTATTGTCCAGAGTAAAACCCAATAATTTGACACACTGGAATTCAGGTAATGGCAGAGCCATAGAAACAATCATATTTTGTGATTTTTCCTTATGCATCATGAGTTTGTTGACACTGAACCAGTGCTCCGCTTTTTCTTGTATTTCCATAGACTTATCAACAAGAGCTGAATAATTCATAGAAGAGTATATCAAGGATGTATCGTCACCAAATGGTACACTGTGACATGGCTTCATATACTTGTAAAAATCATTGATGTAAATAACGAACAGAAGCGGGCCCAGAGATACTCAAACACTATGAAAAGTTTGAAAATTTCAAATATACCTATCCATATTCCCTATAAAAATGGATGTTTCTTGAAAATGAAGTTTTCATTATTATTCTAATCTGAAGCACTTCGATACAAGATAATTTTGCAGACTTTTTGAACAAAGTACTTACTATTGAAAAATTAAAGGCAAATACAATATAAACAGTTTTGTAACATACATAAGGCACATTGATATTTTATATGTATGATGATTATATCCGATAGGCTAACAGTAATTTTCTCAAAGGACATATTTGAAAATCTTTTGTGTAACAGTACATAAATATTTAGTATAAGATACAAATGAATACTTTCTCATTGAATTTTTGGGTTCTATTTAGGTTTGTGTTGAAAATAAGTAGAAGTTGTTTTATAGATAGGTAGTTAAAACAAACACTTAACCTTAAACTTTGCCAATATAATGATTCAGTCATATCACCAATCCGCAACTTCCTATTATAAGCTAAGTAATTCGAACAATGTTCAGATTGGGACATGGTGATACATGTAAATCTAATTCTAAGTCTTCAAATACACAAAGTTTTACAGCATTACACCAGCTGTTACGATTCTCACAATCACGATTAAATTAAACTCAAGAACCTTGAAATGTTTTAAGAAATATTTTCTTTTTATGCCTTTACTTCAATATACAACACTCTTTATACTCAAATGATAGGTATAAAACCAACATAAAATAAGTGTTCCTTATATATCAAAAAAAGTAAATATCCTCATTTTGTAATTAATTTAAAAAAGGTAATTCTGGGTAGGTTATTATAATTCTCAATGCAGGAATTTTGAATAATTTAAATCACTTGCATTAATTTTATAATTTTACCATTATATTTCAGGATAGATTTCATACCTGTGTAAAACAACTTATGTGATCAATAAAGTATTATTATATGGAATTGTTAAAAACTATACATGGAATAGCTTTAAGCGAGATTTATGTTGTTTTACTATGGCTAGTAGTTCCTTCTTTACTGAATTCGTCTCNAGTTCGTGCTAAAAAAAATCAACATACTTTATATTTAGACATTTTCCTCCTGAAAAATTCACCACAAGAAATAATTTTGACAGCCACTGGTTTGAAAGAGAGAGTAGAAATTTACACTAACCTTACGTCTTCCCCCAATCCTCAAAGAGCCATTGTCAGATTTTTTCTCGTCTGCAGAATTTGTAGAGGAATCCATATTTTCAAAAAAGTCTTTTTTTGCTTGGGTTCCGGCACGTTTTTTGGGTTTAACTTGAATTAAATATTCCTCAGTAACATTTCTATTATTCTGATTAGTAGAGTCTCTATCTCTGTCCTCATCATTCGGGAAATTCATTTCCATCTCTGTCTTAGTACTACTCCAGCTATCCCTTTTCTCAGTCTCCTCTTTATCGTCATCTTCGTCATCCCTGGATGGTCCCATTAGGTAATGTCCATTATCCATTTTGATTAGTCCACCGCTTTTCACCTCTTTCTCCAACAGTATACTGATATACTTTTTCGTATACCTCACACTGTCTTTCGACAATATGCTGTTGATTATTTCTGTCCCGGGAACGCCTATTTCCAGGTAATCAGGTTCTTCTACAATTAATTCTCCAAATGCATTCGTTAGCAGCTCACTAAATTGTCTATTTAGTTTGTTAACGCTGTCATTTGCATTACTACTTTGATTTTTCGGATTCAATAACTTTGTCTTTTGATTAGGGTCACGCTGTCTCATTTGTGCGTATTTTTTTGCAGCGTTACGGTAGCTTATGCTGCCTTTATATTCCACTTTAAGAACGTGATTATTTGCTACGCACCATTCCAAATCAGATCTTGCCTCTACGGAGTTTACGGCAAATCGTCGAAATAAATAATTGCAGATTCTCTGTATATCCGGTCGTGCTTTTCTCCGACGCAACTGGTCAATCGCCTCCAAAATACGCTCTCGGTTTTTTATCGAAGTCATTCTAGTAAACAAAATGTTATTTTATTATGTAGGTAACGACACTGTCACAAATTGGTTATGATTTTACGAAACTAGTAAAAACTTATAAAGACTGACCGTACCTGAAACGTGCCGTGTATCTTTATATGAAAAAGAGAAATAACACTCCACAAGAAAACGGAACAAAAAAGAATATATGGAATATTTATTATACACACGTTGCGCTTTGTGAAACATTATCTTATCAAGATACCTTCTTAGATCAGAGGCGTATTTTTCACTATGAATTGAAAATTCAAGTGGTAGAATGCAAATTTTTCGCCGACTGCAAGCCAATCTCGACGTCTTCCCGTTTCCGAAAATTACAATAAATAACAAACTACAAGACAACGCTCGTTGCGCGCAGAAACGCGGAGGCATGCAAAAGTACATTGAGTTGTATTTTACCTGAAATCAAATTTGATATGCGTTGAAACGTCTCAAATGGGGTACTGTTACGCACAGGAAGTTCTCTGATATTATTTTAACAAGTTTTTCACAGTGTCCGTCACATATATTCATCCAAAAACAAACAGATAACTGAACCGCATCTCACGAAACCCGCATAACAAGATTCACCAAGCAGAGCGGCTAGCGGCTGACACACACAGGTTTCGTTGAGGTTGCGACAGGGTTGATGTGACGTAGCTAGCTTGCGCGCGCAACACACCCAAAACTCGGGACTGAAAATTGTTTAATTGATTATGAACAGATTTTCACGTTTAAGATACGTTGTTTTTATAAATATATATCTTTGTTTGAACTTTCGAGCTCGAGACCCTTGTCCTTTAAGATTATTTTAATATTCCGTTCGTTATACCTATCCATCGTTTCACAGGGCTAAGTAGTTTCTTCATGTTGATAATATTACTATTTTGAAAACCATCAGACATATTAGATACATATTAAAAAAAAGTAAAAAATATAGCAACAACCAAATTTCCGAGATAACACCAACACATAACGAAATGAAATAAAAATTATATTTCACTCTGAAAATATAAAACTATAGAGAGATTTGCAATAATGCGCACTGGCTAGCTTCAAAAGGGCCTTTTTACAGATATCTGGTTATTTATTCTCAACATCTAATAATGTCAGATCAATGCTATATCTTTATCTTTAGAATCTTTCAGTGAAAAAACTAAGCAAAACAGGGTTGAAAAAAACATTCTACGGACAAATGCCGTTTAAAATAATTGCAGAGTGACCTCGCACTGAGGATGTGCACACCTAAAGTGTGCAAGATGCAAAAAGTATAATTTTCAAGTTAACAAGTATCTACCTACTTAATACATTCTAAACGTTACGCCATTTATTTCGGGGAGATGGTAACATTAGATATCATATAATGATTTATGAACTAGATTATTTGATGTCATAGTTTTCTATAAGTAATATGTAAGTCTAAAGCTACGATGTAAGTATTTACTTTTTCTTTTATGCATACCAAACTGTGATAGCTCTCATATGAAAGAGACTATTTGTAGACAAGTAGTCATTTTATTGTAGACAGTCTGATTCATTTCCTAGTGACGTCAATGTGGTTGGAAATCGTCGTGAAGAGAGTGTTTGGGAGCAGTGCTTTTTGCTTTTCTTTACACATCAAATTTTATTTCAAAATATTCATTTTCTCTTTACGTATGTATCTCTCCTCGAAACAGTCGTCAGATTTATTTTTATTCTTGAATTTCGAAATTGTATACATAAAAAGTGAAGGTTTAAAGCTGAATCATTTGGAAGCAATGGAAATTAATGAACTTAAAAATTCAAACATTTTACTAAATGACCAACTGGATTTAAATAGATCACCATTATTGAATTTGTTTTCTTAGAAACCGATGTTATCCATGCAGAATTGATAAAATATGCTATAGGTTATCATAATTGAGGATGTACCTTAGGTATATAAAAGTTGAGTAGATACTCTAGGTAATTATGATCGAGTAAGTACCTATAGGTAGGTAGTTCTCGATGGTGATTACAAGGGGCATATAAAAATTAAAGTAAATAATTAACTTTAAGTATATTATTCACTATGAAAAAGTTACTGTGATAGCGAAACATGCCGTGATATTTTTGGAAATAAAGTTTCTGAAGATCAAAGCGTGACGTGTAGTTCATGAAATTTCAAAGTTAATTGCATAAAAAAAATACAAAAAAATAATTTCGAGCGAGTGCCGTTCATACTATTCTGTAACTTTTCATGGTCTCGAACGTAGAGATACGAATATTTTGCTAACTCACCTATGGAATATCAGGCCAAAAACGCTTCTTTTTTCTTTGCACTGTTATTAAATCACACTAAAACAGAACACTGAATCATTTTGATTTCGAAAACCGGGCGTTAAATGCCCTTTTAAAACAACGGAACTATACGAAACTGAATCACGACTAACACGCTTCGATTTATCTTACCATAAGTTTACCATACTTTAGTCGTCACCCGGCGATTTGAGTGATTATTCCTCTGGTTTCTACTTCCATGGAAATAACACATTCTATTCCGTGCTTGCCTCTTTGCAAAGGGACGACGACGGATGACACTGGATTGTAGACTGCTACAGGGGGCGAACTGGCGAAGGATTTTAAAAAAAACACAGCACGTGTTTCGCTATACAATGCCTTCTTTAGGCGTGTCTTCACGTATGGCGAAACACCTGTTGCTTTTTGTAAAAGTATTTAGTGAAAATCTCACAATAAAGTTTTTTTTGAACACGTTATGGATTTCCATCAACTATTGGCCGATTCCATCAAATATAATTTTTTTGGTGTCAACACCCTCTACTATGGTCAATAACTCCCCGAACCACATAGGAAGCATCATGACTATGCACAGACCTTGTAACATTGCACTCATTCCAACTCTAGATAAATTCTCTCGAGAAGAATGTCTGATCGAGGTAGAGATCGAACTCAATCAAACAATCAATTTATTAGTTGAAGAAGTGTTCAATTACAATACAGGAGCCAACATTGTAACATACTAATTTAGGTAACACGTCAGATGTACTAAACAAAGACAGACACCAATCAACCTAATATGAGAGACTCTTCACTTAACTCCACTTCAACTTCAATTCAATATTTTTGTCTGTTGGCATTTAGAATAGATCAAAATCATATCTATCATTTGGTTATGAACCAAATCACTTGCATTTGATTGATTCAACATAGAATAGTTTGTTATGATCTTGACATATTTCATTCGGTATATCTTTTGATTGATTTATTTATTTGTATTTATTACCCATACAGTCCATTAAAGACTAATTACATGGATAAACTGTTGGCGAATACACTACAATGATAGCTATTGAATATAGATCTAGATTACAAAACTATTACTTACTGAAACCAGACTTGTAGGGAGTCGTCCATAACTGCACTGAGTGGATTCGTCAAATATATGTTTAGTTTGACTGAGTTGAATTCAATATTTGTTCTAAAATTGTTTTACGAAAAACTGATAGAGGTAAGGTACATTCTAAATCCATAAGTAGATTGAAATTGTGATATTTCTTTCCATATTTTTTTTAGTTCATTCTACGATGACCGGTACATGCTTTCAGAATATGAATGTCGAAATCATCAATCATCATCTATGATGATGGTCACCATGGACAGAAACTTTTCAAAATGAAACAAATGTAATAGGTACATGGCCAGATGCAGGATACATATGGTTACAAAATTTCACAAAAAATTTCGGATCCTGACTTGAAAAAAGTTGAAGGTGGTCATAATTGAACAAAACGCTTTTTCAAAAATTTTATGAACACAAATGGAAAAACAAATATGAAATTCATAATTTCCCTTTTTCATCTTTTTATATTTTGGGATAAAGACCCTAAAGCAAGAAAATCGACAATTTATATTTTCTCTTATATTCTGAAAATACCTTATACTTCATGTCATTTCATCACACTATCTGATTGCACTTTGTAATTCAACTAATAATAATCTTTATTTCAAATAGTGTTTTACACAAATCGGCGAAAAACAAAAAAATGAAACAGTGTCAATTTTCATAATTCTTAAATCTAATATCTAATAAGAATAATTTAGAAAGTCTTCTACATTATATGGACCTACTTCAATGAGGAAGGATTTAACATTTGTTTTAAATTTGTTGATGTTGTTCAAGGT